CTGTGGCAACAGCATGGGCAGAGAAGGGTGCCCATTGGGTTCTGGTCTCAGCTGTGCAAGGGGGCCAAGTGTCAGTACACCCTCAATGAGAAGCAGTTGGCTGCCATTTATGTAGCCTTGCAGGCCTGTGAGGCAATCACAACACAAAGTAAGGTGCTCGGCTCATGAAGACTGCCTATCCTATAGCCAGTTGGCTTAGATCTTGGGTGACCACACCCAAGTCGAGAGTGGCACAAACCCCAACTTTAGCAAAATGGAGGCCTATTTGGAACAGAGGGCAGTGGTGAGTACCAGCCCTCTGTCACAGAAATTGCAAACCCTGTTGGGTCCTGTGACATATGAGACCCTGTCAAGGGATGAAACTCCTATGGAGGAGGTACTCCCTAGTCCATTCCGAGAAGCTATGCCATCTCTCCCGGAGACCATGTGGTACACAGACGGATCAAGTAGGGGGAGCACTGCTACATGTACAGCAGTGGCTGTCCATTTAAATACAGACAAACTGTCGTTTGATTCTGGTACTGGGCAAAGTAGCCAATGGACTGAACCAAGAGCAGTCTGGATGGTGTTGACAAAGGAGCCTGGCCCTTTGGTCATTGTAACAGAGAGCTGGGCCATCTTTAAAGGCTTGACTTTGTGGTTGCCACAATGGCACAAGCAACAGTGGCTGGTAGGACACCGTCCCGTGTGGGGACAGGAAATGTGAAAGGATATATGGAAAGTAGGGACTTCCAAAAAGGCAACAATATATCATTTGAGTGGCCATCGACCATTGTTAGCCCTTGGGAACAATGAGACAGATGCCTTGACAAGGGTTTGGGAGGTAGTACCTTTCCCTGAAGATTGGGCTTGGTGGCTCCATCGGAAACTAGGGCACGTGGGACCACAGACAATGATGCAGGTGGCTGAGAGGTGGGGCCCGGCCTTATCCACAGGGGAACCCCTCGCTGCAGTACGAGGTTGTCCCTGCTGTGCTCAGACACGCCCCCCCCATCGATATGGCCTCCAGGGGAAGAAGGGCCATGTCCTCAGAGGAGGGACCTCTCTGCAACATTGGCAGGTGGATTTCATTGGGCCTCTCCCTCTGGACTAGGGTTTTAACTATGCCCTGACTGCCACCAGCCTCCTTTTTGCTTACCCTGCAAGAGAGGCCACCCAATGGGCAGTTGTCCATGGTTTGGAACACTTGGGGGCCACCTATGAGTGACCCCTTAGCATAGCAAGTGATAATGGAATCCATTTCACAGGGAAGGAGGTACAGAGCTGGGCCAAGGCCCAGGATATAGCTTGGCAGTTTCACGTTTCATATAATCCCCAAGCTGCTGGGGTGATTGAACAGTATAATGGCCTGTTGAAAGACAAGCTCTGCCTAGGGGTGGACCCACCTAGCCTAAAAAGTTGGGCTAGATGATTGAATGAACAGCCAGTGCTTCCCCCTTTGAGTTAATGATGCGGAGGTATCCTCAGACGCTGCATGTGCAGGTGAAAACAACAAATGAACTGTTGCGCCCCAAGGTACACCCATCTGGAACTTTGCTGCTGCCTACACACCTGCCCACTTGGCAGAGGGGAAAGAGGCAGTGTGGACCTGGCCATGGACTGTTACTGGGGAAGGGCCCTGGGGAAGTGGGTATGACTACAAGTTCCAGTTGCACCCTTTGATCCAGCCCTGGCCAGTAACAGTGCAAGTCCAAGCCAGAAAGCATAGGAGGGGTACATTGTTAAAAGGGACTTACACTATTCCCCTCTGGCCAGTGCTCAGATTTCCCATAGCTTCCCCTGTGAAACCGGGCCCCTATGAAGAGGGAGATCCCACTTGGTATCACTGGCCAGGTTGTCCTCTGATTCCAGTCACAGTGCTGTCTAGAAGAGACACAGTTGCTTGCATCTTGCCAGAAGGCTGTGATCTCTCTATGATGGTTTCAGTTTCTCTTTTGTCTCTTTGATCAGGGCGAGCTTGGCTAACAGTGTAGTGTTGTGGGCACACACCTATGCTCGATGCATAATGTCTCCCATTGTTGGGTGTGCACAGAAATTCCCCCAGGAGCAGCCAGTGGATTTCCATGGCGCATCCATCTGGCCACCACTGCCAATTGGACATGGTTAACTGACCAAGACTTCAACAACATCTCCTGGGATTCTGTGTACCAAGCCATAGAGACTCTGATCTGGTGGGACCACCTCAATACTCGCCCCTTTATTGGTTATACAGTGTGGAATGGTTGGGGGTGGTTGCTAGGAGAACAAGTAGAATTAAGAGACCCTGCAGACAGGTGTGTAGAGCAGCAGTGACTCAGTAAGAATTGAGTTGTTGGCTGGCTGCCTCCAGATTTGTGTTGTAACATAACTACTAATGTTGAGGTTCAGAAGCGACAGAATGGAAAGCATTATAGTGGCACAAAACCTGTAGATATGATGATTCCAGGATACTTATGGGTGTGTGGAAGGTATGGCTGTCCCTACCTTCCTGTGAATTGGTCGGGTCGATGTACCTGGGTTAGGCCCTATATCCCTGGGCAAATTCTTAAGACTTTAGAAGAGATTCCCCATAACTGGGACTCAGTTTACCACTGGTGGCATTGTGTTAAATAGACTTCCTGGTGGTTTTACTCCTTAGCTGTATTCCTTCCTGCGGGAGGAGCAATTAAGGTAGAGTTAGAAGTAACAGCCTTAGCTGAGAATATAGCTAAAGACTTGAGTCAGACCCAGCAAGCCCTTACCCTAATGATGGATGAAACCACGTAGATGTGCAAAGTGATACTGCAGAATAGAATAGCACTAGATTTGTTAACTGCTTCACAGGAGGCACCTATGTCGTCATACATGTAGAATATTGTACATATATACCTGACAATCAAGGGAATTTAACCAGTGCCCTGGAAGAGATAAACAGGGAAGTGCGGACCATACAAGCCATGTCCCATGACCCCCTCCAAGGTTGGTGGGATTGATTTCAGGAATAAGGCACTGGGCATTTGTGAGTGTTGCTATTGGGGCCAGAGTACTGGTTATAACATGTTGTAGTTTGTATTGCTGTTGTGGACTCTGTGCTCAAGGTGCTGGCAGATGGGCCAGGGTATCCCATAGAAATCACCAGTGTAAGGAGTGGAATGTGGGGGCCCTGTCCAGAGTATACCAGATGTTCAAGGCCAATCTGAGCAAGGACACAGCAATCTTACTGTATACACTGCACAGGTGTGCCTTTCTATAACCCAAATATTTATGTCACTATTTGGCAAGAAGCCTCTTTTGTTTGAGCTTGTACCTAAATTGCCACTGACCACCCAAATTGGTAATTACAATATAGCCACAGAGATGTAAATTACAGGGCAGGGAAGATAGTCAATAATCCTATCTCATAATAGACAAACATGGTAATTAACCATACCTCCGCTACGCTTCCCATTGGCTAATCAGCAGGGTATGCAAATTAACTGCCAACAAAGATGGTGGCCAGCAGCCACGCAGCTGAAGAGAACATGAGGCTTGCTTGCTCCAGTGATGGAGGAAGCCAAGGTTCCCCGCCTGCTGGGGAACCTTGCAGTGACACTGTGTGGTCAGAGGATCCATGGTTGAGGGATGAGGCAACTGTGTCACCTGCTGATTCTGGTCTAGGTGGCATATATAATGCAAGGCTGGCCCTCTCATGACTCAGTCTCTAAAATTCCTGTCTCCTTCTGACCCTAATAACAATCTGGCTGTGCTGAGGAAGGCCCGAGCTCCATGGTAGTTCTCTCTCCGCTAGGCAGAATTTGGGGGGCCTTGGGTGGGCTGTGGGAGGGCCCAGGGGCATGGAGTAGCAGTGCAGCTGTTTCTGCAGTGATGACAAGGGGATCTGTAAGCAGAGAGGACTGAAGCTCCTGGAGAGTGTGTTAGGAGGTATGGGCTGCACCTGATTAAAACCTCTGGATTTTTGCGACACTTCCATGAGGTTCCCATGAGAAGCATTCACATTTACAAATAAGAAAACAAATGTATACATGTGAGCAAATCTTCTCAAGGCCACACAACCAGGACCTTCAAAGCATGAAGCCTGAGTCCCATCCCTTTGGCCTTCCCACCATGGGCCCAGGCCAATTGCACACAACTGTCTACACCTCTGGATAACCTGAGATGTCCCAGCTGCCCAGCTGACACACACGAGTCTCCTATCCTCTTCTCTCTTCTACTTCCTTCTCTACCCCTAGCTCGGGGGTCCTCAAACTTTTTAAACAGGGGGCCAGTTCACTGTCCCTCAGACCGTTGGAGGGCCGAACTATAGTTTAAAAAAAAAAAACTATGAACAAATTCCTATGCACACTGCACATATCTTACTTTGGAGTAAAAAAACAAAACGGGAACAAATACAATATTTGTATTTGCATGTGGCCCGCGGGCCATAGTTTGAGGACCTCTGCCTAGCTTCTATGGGCTTCTATCTGCCAGACTATGGCAGGGACTTCCTACCACACAGGGATCCCACACATGGATGTCTGAATACTCTTCCATGTGAAGTCCCATGTAGAAGGGTGTGGGACACACACACACACACTGTCCCTCTCATGGGGGCTGTGGCCCAGGGCTCTGTGAGGAAGAGTATGAGCCTGCCAAGGTTTCTCCATCCTGGCCTCATTTCCTGTCATGTGCAGCCCCATTCAGAGGTTAGGCCTGGCAATTCTAGCTCCCAGACGCTGCTCTTTCTTTTCTGGCCTCTCACCCATGATCCAATCCAATGTAGTGAGTATTGTGCCCTCCCTGCTGGCTTACCAGACAGGTTTGAGGGAAATTGAAATGGGGGACACTTATCAAGAGGTCAGTGACCAACAAATCATCACAATGAACTGATCTGTTTAGGTATACTCACACACACACATGCAGCCTGGACAGCTAGCAGAGATGTGCATGAGTGCATGTGAGCATGATTTTGCATTGTTGTTTTTATTTTTGTTAAACAGTCATTCCTAAGACCTGCCCAAGCCCAGTATCTCTGCAGAGGAGTGGCACTATCAGGACCCCTGTAGATGAGATCCATACCAGGGGCAAGTGCAGAACCAATCACCTATGACAAAGCCTGCCACTCCTGCTGGGAATTATGGGGGTGTCAGTTGGCACCTTGACCCCTGAACACAACAGCCTGTTTAGCCTGACCATCTCATCAGCAAGCTCCCTTGCATGTCCTAGGCAGCCAGCAACACCTCCCTGAGCCCAGGGATCTCAGGGTGTCCATTTCCTGCTGCGATGGTTCTTCCTCCCTTGGCTCTCCTGGCTGTGGCCATGCTGGTTCTGAGCTGCTGCTGCTGGCTTCCATCCTGCTCCCATATCCAGCCTACATTATCTTTCATATGTTCATCTCCTCCAGTAACCTGGGCAGCTGGGCCCAGGGTTACATCATCTGTGGTATTCTCACAGACTCTGTCTTCACTACCTACACCAATACCACCTTGTCCTTCATGGCCACTGTGCTGCACAGCTACCTAACAGTCGCTCGTCCTCTGCACTACCTCTCCTTCATATCCTGTGAAGCTATCCAGAATGTGGTGGCCTGCTTTTTCCCCATATTTCTCATTTGGCTTTGCAGGATGCCAGGTTGGAGAGCTAGGATTCTCATGTATCATATAGCTGAGACTGGGCATCAAGTTGAGCCATGGCCCCCTAGTCACTGTCACACACATCTTGTGCATTTTCTTTCTATGCACAGCTCTATCACCTACTGTTTCTGCATGATCTATGCAGGGGTCAGGATTTCAGGTTTCTGGGTTCAGGCTATTCCCAGGAAAGCAGCACTCTGCTAATCACACTGCATGTGAGCTCAGTGGTGGCATTTTCCCTGGATATTGTGCTGACCAAGGAGCACCACATTGATGCCAGGGCTGACATATGGCTCACAGCAGCCAGCATTGAGGTGCTCTTGGCTTCTGATGGCTGCTGGGGATAGTCTGGGGCCACTTCTCATCCAGGAGGCACAGTGACATTTTCACCATTTTTCAGATCTAGACTTCTCAGTCTGGCAGGCGAAAGTTAAAGTTCAATGTATCAGCATCCATTTATAGCCAGATCCTCAAAACTGCACAATAATTGTAGAACATGTCAACATAAGAAACATTCAAGCCTGTAGAGAATTTTATGAATTTATTTGAGCCAAACTGATGACAATTGCTGGGAAGCAAAACTTCAATGGATTGAGAAAATGCTCCAGAAAATGGCAATTCTGTATCTTATTTTACACATTATAATCAAAAGAGAAGATGTAAGTGGATTACATGAAATCCATTGGCAATAGATTGATAGATTGGGGAGGTGGGAGAAAGCAAAGTGGAGAAACTTCTGAGATTGGATAAAAAGTAAAACAATACCCACATACCTCCTTTACACAGGTGGGTACAGGACAATTATCGGTCAACAATTAACATGATAATGACAATGAGGGGATTTGTAGTCTTTGCTCTGTTGTGGTGTCTGTGCTCTGAGGGGGTCTGAAAAAGGGAAATTACATTGTTTTTGCAAGGGCATGTTTATTAGGCATGTTATCCTAGACACAAAAAGACAATAGACAGACTTAGCTAAGGTGAAGACTGACCTTCGCCAGGGAAGAATACTGCCTTAGGATATGACTACCCATTATGGACTACTCTTAATTAAAAAGTTTTACTTTCAGAACATCCTATATAGTTACTAGAGGCCCAGTGTACAAAAATTTGTGCACTTGGGGGTAGGGGGTCCCTCAGCCCGGCCTGTGCCCTTTCGCAGTCTGGGACCCCTCAGGGGTGACCACTTGCTGACTTAGGCCTGCTCCCCGAGGGATTGGGCCTAAGATGGCAATCAGACATCTCTCTGGCAGCCCAGCAGCCCTCGGGGGATGTCCACTTGCCAGCGGGGAGCAGACCTAAGCTGCAGTCGGACATCATTAGCGCTGCTGAGAAGGCAGGAGAGGCTCCCACCACCACCACTGTACTGGCAGCCATCAGCCTGGCTTGTGGCTGAGCAGAGCTCCTCCATGTGGGGGCTCACTGACCACCAGAGGGCAGCTCCTGCATTGAGCATCTGCCCCCTGGTGGTCAGTGTGTGTCATAGTGACCAGTCATTGCCAGTCTTTCTGCTGTTAGGGTCAGTTTGCATATTACCCTTTTACTATATAGGATAGAGGCCTGGTGCACGGGAGGGGGCCAGCTGGTTTGCTCTGAAGGGTGTCCCGGATCAGGGTGGGGGTCCTGCTTGGGTGCCTGGCCAGCCTGGGTGAGGGGCTGATGGATGTTTGCAGCTGGTCACACACCCTTCAGGGTGGGGGTCCCCACTGGGGTGCCTGGCCAGTCTGGTGAGGGGCTGAGGGCCATTTTCAGGCTGGCGGGCGACTGAAGCTCCCAGCCTCTTTTTTTTTTCTTTTTTTTTTATTCTGGGATTTATTTACCTTCTATAGCTGTCACTGGAGCTGAGAGCTGGCTCCAGCTCTGAGGCCATGGCTGGCTGAAAGCAGGTATCTGAGTTTGTTTAGCTTCTATAATTGAAACTCTGTTACCATCACTGGCGCTCTAAGCTCTGAGCCCGCTGTGGCTGAAAGCAGGTATCTGGGGTTTGTTTAGCTTCTATAATTGCAACATTGTTGCATCCGGAGCTCAGAGCCCGGCCGCAGCAGGCGGGGAACCTTGGCTTCCTCCATCACTGGAGCAAGCAAGCCTCATGTTCGCTTCAGCTGCGTGGCTGCTGGCCGCCATCTTTGTTGGCAGTTAATTTGCATATCCTGCTGATTAGCCAATGGAAAGTGTAGCAGAGGTATGGTTAATTACCATGTTTGTCTATTATTAGATAGGATTTTAGATCTCTGAGTCTGCAGGGTTGTGATGCAAGCCTCTCCTGAGCTTGTCAGATTTATGACCTCTTTTCATCCACAAACAGGACCTTTAAGATGACTCCAATTGAAGGTTCTCAACATTTCAGAGGTTTTTAAGTAGAGTGACACCATAACCCTACTTGTAAATGGAAGCATATGAAAGAGTTCTGGTCAAAGTGGGTCAAGGCTCTGATCTGTTCCCTTCTCCTGCCTTCCTCCACACCTTTCACGGGCATTGATGAAGCATAGCTGCTGACAAACACACAGAAGCCAAAACATTACTGAAAACCGGAACCCAAGAAGTACACAGGCAGATCTGTTGAATCTGGGACGAGGTGCTCCCATTTTGGCAGCTACTCGGGATGTAGGAGGGAAGAAAGCAAACCCAGGATACACCTACTATGAAGAGTGACATAGAGACTCTATGAAGCTGGGACCCCAGGAGATTACAGTCTCAGAACAAGGATAAATCAGAACTAAGAAAACAGCAAGAGAACTGCCTGCCTTAATATTGGTGCCATGCAGAACAGGGAGAAAATTCCTTTAGAATTCTTAAGTAGAAGCCACCCTTCTGACAGAATTAAAGCTAAGTTTCAGGAGAAACAAAATGGCAGTGGAATAAGCAGACGTGTCCCGAGCCTTGTCCTGGAGCATATAGGAGCAACTAAATTGAATAACATCCACCCTGAATTGGTGAAGTAGACACAGCTGATGAGACAATTCACAGCCGGGAAGGGGAGAGGACTCCTGGAGAATGGTAAAATCAGGGATCTGGGCTGGAGAGAATTACAAGACTTCCAAGCCCAGAGGGTCAGAAGGAAGCCACACGGCACCAAGTCCGCGTCCCTTGGGACAAGGCAGCTGGCAGCAGGGGATTCTACATCTAAGCCCACAGTCACGAGAGGCTGAGCCCCGAGGGGGTAGCCTGAACAACTGCCCAAGCCACACCGTGCCGGGGGGGAGAGGGGTTCGCAGTGGCACAGCTCTTTCCCCTCATTGGTCTTTGCTTTTATTCGCTAAACCCAGTTCATAGGACCTTTCAAATACAAACACTCACCCATGGCTGAGGTGCAGACTTGTAGAGTCTGGGGAGAGGAACCACTCAGGGAGAGGTGGCCAGGAATCTGGCATTGAGTCATACCTGACGTGCTAGACCTAGGCAGCCATTATCTCCTGAAGAGATAGCCCCTCCCTGCAGTCTCCAGACAACTAATATCGCAACACCCAGACTACACCCTGAGTGCTACAAAGGATACAAACAAAATCTGAGAGACCCTTCAGTCCCTGAAAGCCATACGGCAACCTCCCCAACTATAGCCCTCTCAGAAACAGCCACTTGAGAGATTAAGATTGAAAGTGGGCAGATAAGCTAAGTGGGAAGATTGATCCTGCCAGCTGGTAGTCAAGGCTGTGGAAATAGTCACAAACAGAGGACAGTGGACTGCTTGGAACTTCAACAATCTAACGGGAAACTAAGAAGTGGCAGACAGTACAGAAGAATGGGATCTTAAACAGCCGCCATGGGGCATTAAAACTTGGTGGACACTTAACTTTTTCCTTTTTATTTTATTATTATTTTGTTATCTCTCTTTTTCTTATTTTTTCTGTATTTCCATTTTTTGTTTGTTTCTTTATTTTTATTTCTTCCCGCATTATTTTTCATCATTATATTTCTATTTTTTCTATTTTTATTTTATCCTATTTTTTAATTAATTTTTAAAATTTTTTTCTACTTTCTCTTTCTTCTTATCCACTCATCCTCTTCCTACTTCCTCTATACTGAGCTGAGGTCCACCCCATATTTATCCAATTCCTTAACCTTATTTCCTGTATATAAGCTCAGCCTCTACAGATTCTGCCCCCACCCTTTTTTCTGAGTGTTTGGTGTTTGCATTTTTTGGTTTATCTGTTTGTTCTGTGGTGTTTTCTCCATATATATACACTGAGTGGCCAGATTATTATGACCACCCCATCAGTACTTCGTTGGGCCACCTTTTGCCTTCAATGCTGTGGTGATTCTTCTTGGCATTGACTCCACGAGATGTTGAAAGGTGATGCGAGGAATCTGACACCATGCCTGATGAATAGCACTGTCCAGTTCTGTGAGATTTGATGGTTGTGGAACCAGCTGCCTGATGGCTCTTTTAACTTTGTCCCACAAATGCTCAATTGGATTGAGATCTGGTGATTGTGGGGGCCACCTAAGCAAGGTAAAGTCTCCCTCATGTTCTTGAAACCACTCCTGCACAATACGAGCACCATGGCATGGCGCATTGTCTTGTTGGAAGAAGCCATCTCCATTGGGATACGCCATCAACATGATAGGATAAACCTGATCAGCAACGATACTTAGGTATGTTGTGCTATTCAGACATTGTTCCACACGAATTAAAGGGCCCAAATCATGCCAGGAAAACATGCCCCAAACCATAACACTGCCCCCACCAGCTTGAAGGGTTGTACTCATGCATGTGGGGTGCATGCTTTCATGCTGTTTCTGCCAAATTCTCACTCTGCCATCTGCATGATGCAACTGGAAACGTGATTCATCGGACTACATGACTTTTTTCTAATGCTCGACTGTCCAATCCTTGTGTTCCTGTGAGAATTGGAGACTTTTTTATCTTGGTAACTGCAGACAGCAAAGGTGTTCGAACAGACCTTCAGCTTCCATATCACATATAATGCAGTGTATGGCTAATTTGCCTACAGACGTCAGGTGGTCATAATAATCTGGCCACTCAGAGTGTGTGTGTGTGTGTGTGTGTGTGTGTGTGTGTGTGTATTTCCCTTTTTCTTCTTTTTCTTTTCTCACCATTTTTTCTCTCCTTGATATCATTTGCACTCTCTTTTCTCTCCCCTAATTCTCTTTTCTCTGGTGGTCACTTATATTGGGTTTATAGGTGTCATGAGTACATTCGTGTTTTGTTCCCTTTGTGTCATATCTTGTTGAGTTGCATTTTTTCCTGTTTGATCAATGTGGTAGAGAGCGAGCCACATAACCAGACACCTGGAGAGGAGACTCCATCCATGAAAAGGTCAATAACACTCCAGACACTCCAGACCCAACTACAGAGGCAGGAAAAAGGCAGCAGTGAGGGAGAGAGTGTGAGTGAGTGAGGGAGAGAAAGGGGAATGTGTGGATGTGTGTGGTGTGTGTGTGTGTGTG